CCGCTCCCCGCCCCTGCGGGCCACCCCCCGACTGCGCGGAGGGGCGGGACGGCCCCCGGGAGCTGACCCCGCCCCGGAAGTCCTGGTCTGAGGGCTGGCTTACCCCCAGGACGGGCGGCTCACCCCTCTTCCTGTCGGGACAGGTCTGTTTCAGAGAAGTTCTCTCCTGTCTGTAATCAGCGAAGTGGAAATGGTCGCCGAGAAGTGGTGTAAGAGAAGACTACACCCTGAACAGAGTGCTACTGTGTGTGTAACACAAGGAAAACAGAGGGAGGGGCTATCACACGGATTCATAGACATGAGGGTTCTCAAGAAGGGGGTGATTTTGCCCTGCTCCCCCAGCCCCACGCCAAGGACATTTGACAATATCTGAAGACATTTTTTGTTGTCACAGCTGGGGTGCAGGGGCGTCCTCCTGGTGTCTAGGGGCTAGAGACCTGAGATGCTGCTAAACATCCTGCAGTAACACGGGGCAGCCCCTTCCGCACCCACCCACACCCAGCCTAAAATGTCAGTTGTGCTGAGGTTGAGAAACCCTGACAGACGTGAGTAAAATAAAACTCCAGGCTGGTAGGTCTCAAAATATTTAACCTCTCTGTGCCCCTGTTTCTTTATCTGTAAAATGAGTATATAATAGATCTATCTATGCATTATATGCATATGCATTGAAGGAAGGGATGCAGGCTACTTTTCATTGTGAAAAGTTTGCGTTTTTTTTAAATAAATTTCTGAAATAGTTTCAACCATAACAGCAAACACAGACACACGCTAAGTGCGAAGCATTTATCTAAACACTTCACCTATATTTACATATTTAAACTATAAATAGCCTGTGTGACAGGTCTATTATCATCCGGATCTCACAGATAAGAAAACCAAGGCATACAGATACTAAGTAATTTGCCTATGGCTAGCCATGCATTCATTCATAGCTCTTCATTAATTCATTCATGGGTCCAGTAAATAGTGCCTCCCTGGTAGAAAGTGTTGGGACTGACAATATGCAATCCCATCTCCATGAGTCTGGCTGTTATTGAAAAACAGTATCATATAGTGTTTGTTCTACATATATTAGAGGCTTTGTATGACTAACTGCATAGTAACTGTTGGGTGGGTTTTTGTTTTTTTTTTAAGATTTTATTTATTTATTGGAGAGAGAGAGAGACAGAGAGAGAGAGAGAGAGCACTAGCGAGCATGAGCGGGGGAGGGGCAGAGGAAGAGGGAGAAGCAGACTCCCTCTGAGCAGGGAGCCAGACACTTGATCAGGCTTGATCCCAGGACCTGGGATCATGACCTGAGCTGAAGGCAGATGCTTAACCAACTGAGCCACCCAGGCACCCCTCTGCTGGCTATTTTCTAATGCCCCTTTGTGGGTGGAGAAACGGAGATCAAGGGAAGAGATCTGAATAGTGACCATTTGTTTAATAACAACTACCTAGCAACAGCATCTCCTGAGAGCCTTGTGTCAGGCACTGGGATTCAGCAGGTGACAGGAAGACAAGGCCCCTGCATCCAAGGGGGAAACCAGACCCTTCAACAAGCATTCACGAAAAAGTGGACACCTCTAATTGGGGAGGAGGAAACAGGGCGAATTAACCTGGACCAGGCAGGGAGGGCCAGGAGTGTTCACACTAAGGCCTGAAGTGTGGAAGGGTGTGTGAATCACAGAGACCAGCAGGTGCAAAAGTCCAGCAGGAAGCACTTTTCAGATGCAGACTTTCGAGAAGTGCAGTGGACAGGATGTGAGGAGAGGGGAAAATAGGAGGTCAGAGGGGTCTGCAGGGGCTGGATGCTGCAGGCGACCGTGGGAAGGAGTCAGGACTTTATCTTGCAGCAAAGGTGTTCCTCTGGGGAAGGACGTGGTTAGTTTTTGCCTTCTGCAAAGATCCTCTGGCAGCTCCGTGGAGCAGGACAGGCAGGGAAGCTGCTTTGGAGGCTGTTGAAGTACTCCAGGGGAGGTGGCCAACCCAGGGCAGGGCCAGAGACATGGAGGGAGTGTTTAGGTTCCATCTGGAAGACAGAATTAGCAGATCTCAGTTGTGGGGCTAAAGAAAGGGACCAGACGATCTGGTTTCTAGGTTGGACCTTCTCCTATCAGCCCTCTGACTCGGCAAACCCCTTCAAGTCTCAAGCTAGCTGTCCCCTTCTCGAGGAAGCCTACCTGCTCCCCAGGAGATCCTCATGCCATGGACACTGGCCCATGCCACCCAGGAATGTGATGTGACTTTGAAAGCCGAGGAAGACTCTCATCTTGTCTGCTCCTCTAGTCTGTGAACAGCCGGGTGGGGGCCTCTTCTGTCTTCTCCCCCAGCCTGCTTCCCCAGCACTCAGGAAGCCCTCAGCCAATATTTGTCAGAAGCAGGAAGAATAAATGTGGCATAAAACACGATGATTCCAAAACTCTTTCCAGCTCTGACGTTGAAGAAGATGATGCTAATGATGATTCAGGGACTTGCTGTGCTTTAGGCTCCTTACATGTATTATATTCAAGTTGATCCTTTACTCCTCTCAACAACCTCATTACTCCCATTCTACAGAAGAGGAAACAGAGGCTTCATCAGGTTATTTGTCTTGACCACAGGCAACAGCTTGTAAATGTCAGAGCGGAGATGCCGACTCAGGACAGTGGTGGGAGGAAGTGGCCTTGCAGGGGACAGGAAGGAAGCTAGGATAGAGGGGCAGGTTCTCTTCTCCCACTGGAAGGATATGCACCCCTTCTGGCTGGGTGCCCAAGCTTCACAAAGCAGTCTGATATTACATAGCTGATCCAGATGCCTGGCCGTCATGACAACGAGGCTCTAAAGCGATGCTCACCTCTCTAGAAGCTCCTCGGGACATCCTGGCACAATGCCCCTTTGCCAAAACTCGGTTGCTATGTGTCCCTCAGAATCTGGCGCTGGCCACCTGTGGGTGGTCCTTCCACCTGCACCCCCCCCTCCGGCACACACTGCTGACTTGGTATCCCTGCCCTGTTGCCCTAAAGATGGTAGTTTGCCTCCTGTTGCGGTGGACAGGAGAGGACATTCCATAACCAAGGTGCTTTGTCTCCCCAAAGGCCTGTGACTCAGAGATTCATGAGCTGGGATCTAATGTTGAAACATGATGACATCCCAGCTAGCACCATGTTTGGAAGCCAGCATTTAGGGCAAAGCTCCTGCAGAGTCAGAACCAGCTGGGAGAAGCCCCCAAGAAAGCTGGGGGCACCGTAGCCATGGTGGACCTTCTCCTATCAGCCTTCTGACTCGGCTCCGAGAGTCACCTCCAGTAAGGTGCCCATCAGCATGACCGCTGTTGAGCAACCTGAGAACGTCAAAAACTTAGAGTTTCAGTCTCGAGGTGAAACATGTGACTTATCTTCAAGCTCTGAAATTCTGTTCCTGGTGGTGAGAAGCTCACATCTCGTTGGAAGTAGGACCCACGACAGAAGCAACAGCTTTTATGTCATACTCCCTCCCTCCCGGCCTTTTTTCCATGCTCTGGTCTTGGACTTGCTTGTATTTTGTATTTATTCTGGTTTTTGATACATGTTGTGTTTATTCATAAATTTGTTAACAAAAGCTAAATAGGGGTCCCCCGGGTGGCTCTGTCCGTTAAGCATCTGCCTTCAGCTCAGGTCGTGATCCTGGGGTCCTGCGATTGAGTCCCGAGCTGGGCTCCCTGCTCGGCAAGGAGTCTACTTCTCTCTCTCCCTCTGCCCCCCTCCTCCCCACTCCTTCTCCCACCCCAACCCCACTCATGCTCTCTCTCTCTCTCAAATAAATAAATAAAAATCCTCTTTTTTTAAAGCTAAATAAATGTAGGGGCGCCTGGGTGGCTCAGTTGGTTGAGCGTCTGCCTTCGGCTCTGGTCATGATCCCAGGGTCCTGGGATCGAGCACCGCATCGGGCTCCCTGCTCAGCGGGAAGCCTGCTTCTCCCTCTCCCACTCCCACTCCCCCTGCTTGTGTTCCCTCTCTGGCTGTGTCTCTCTCTGTCAAATAAATAAATAAAATCTTAAAAAAAAAAAAAAAGCTAAATAAATGTATGGATACAACAACAAATCAAATATAAAATAATTACTTTGTTATATTCATCCTAGTTGTTGTTGGTTGGTCTTGCCAAGTGTCTGTCTCATGTTTTAGCACTGCTGACGTTCACCTTGTTTTCAAAAAACACCCGTGAGAAAATGAGGGCATCGACACCTTTCTTTGAGTTAGAGCAATCTGGAAAATCTAGATTATGAATGCACGTAAGTTTTACCACTCACTGAGCCAGTGGATTTCTGTTCTGTTTGCCTTTTATAGGACCCACAAGACGGATACCCTGAACAAAACAGAACAAAACACCTGCTATGTCCAAAATAGTTCTTCTGAGAAGTATGAAATACAAATTCTAAGTGATCAGAAAGCAGTTGTGTTATATTTAAACGGAGAGTGTTTCTCTTTTCCTTTCTCTTTCTCATCAAACCATGTGGCTTGTGGTCTGTGAGGCCTTAGAGTTGATTTCGTGTGGCCCCTGTGACTGGAAGGCTTGTCTCCACCGTAGTAGAATTTTAGAGCTGCACCCACGGACTTCAGGAGTTGAGGATGGGAATCTATGTAGCTTGACTTGGGAGTCAGAGAATCAGGGAAGCATAGAGATGAATTGCAGAATCTTGGAGCACCATGGAAGTTGGGAACCATGGGATCCCAAGGTCGGACAGAATCTTGGGGCTGGTTGATCATTTGAGCTGCCTTTGTAGAGACTGGAAGAACAAGTCCCAGGGAATGGAAGCCATTTGCCCAACACTTCGCAGCTTCTAACTCTAAGGCGGGGCAAACCCTGGCATCTACAGATTCTTGCCTGGGGATCCCGTCTTCTAATGCAAGAGGCTGGCCGTATTGGAGCGTGGAGGTGGGGAGAACAAGG